AACCACGAGGTAAGCAATTCAAACCCACAAGTTGCTCCTTGGAAACCCTATACAGGGTCACTGGGTTGAAACCACCTTGATGGTCACTGAAATAAAAGCTTACAAATTTTGCTTTGCTGTCTTGCATAAGGTGTGTGTATAAATCACCAAGTACCCCTTCTAATTTACAACTGGGGTCTTCTAGGCCACATGCTTCATCCCCTATCTTACTTATAACTAAATACAGAGAAGCCTATCTTTCCACACTGAGGACACAGAGGCTAAAACCCTAGTTTTCACTTCTCAATAAATCCCTTAAATTGTACCAGAGCTCTTCAGGCACATTCAAGATTGGACTTCCCCCATAGCCCACAGCCATAGCTTAGGATAATATCCTCTCATTCATGCTGACCTATCCTGTGCAATTCAAGCTGTCAGTGACAAACCCAGACACATCCCTGATGCATCTGCATATGCCAAGTTGGTTGTATCCTTAGTGCTAAACACCAAAACAACTTACTTAAATTAAAAGTTTGATGACAAACTGGGAATGGCAGGCCTTTGCAAAACTGACATAGATGAAATGAAAGAAAGTGGTTGGTTGCAGCTGTGTGGATAAGGACTATGGGAAAGAATACCAGATCAAGAATTTCAGCTAAGACTATTTCAAAGATCTCTAAAAAAGAATAGTGCCCTGGCAACTCAGTGAACATACAATTTAAAAACTATTTTAAGAACCTGGTCTTAGCTCTTGTCTGTTTCTTCTTTTTCTGTGCTCATCAGACCCCTAAACGGCCAAAATTTTGAAGCAGATTGAAGGCAAGGAAGACAGACTTTCATGCAGCCTTGAGCATTGCTGGAGATAAAATCACAGTGGTTGACTTCTCAGTCACTTGGTGTGGGCCTGCAAAATGATTATACCTTTCTATCATTCCCATGTTGCTTGGTTTGCCAACATTTCAGTTTTACAAAAAGGGGTAAAAAGTTGAATTTTCTGATGCTACTAAGGAAAAACTTAAAGTTATCATTAATGAATAAAAACTGTTTTCTGAAAACAGCTATCAACTGTTCACTTAACACTTCATTTACAAAAAAAAAGTATGAAGACTATATTCCCATCCGCCATCTGAATACAAATGACAATATTAATTCTACCCTTAAAAAACAGAAAACTTAAGATTATGCAATTACTTCCCAACTCTGTATTTAAAGTTGAATATATTTAATCTTTCATATGGAGACACCTTGGATCACTACCCCCTAGATGGTTATCCAAAACAATACAGGTATATGTGGGAAATAATTTGGGAATACTAAATGTATCAATAATAAACAAAGGCACCATGCTTTTTTTTTTTTTTAAACTTTATTTCAACATAACTATGTTTACAGAAATACACTCATAATGGTTAATAGAATACAATTTAAGTTTAACTTATTCTACATAATTTGGACCAAAAACCCAGTACATGGTTTAGGATTTAAAAAAAAAAAAAGATTTTCAATCTGGTTTTTTTTTTTTTTGTTTTTTTTTTATGTATTACAAATACAAATGTATAAAAAGATCCTCCCTCAAATGCTGCTAAAGCAGGCAGCAAGAACCATGAGAAATTTACCTTTGGTTTGCTTCAGAAAAACACACGTTATTGCACTGTAAAAGTTAAAAACAAAACAAAACAAAACTGATACAACAATTTTGTTGTTTCAATGCCAGCTTACGAAAATTTAATAACTAATCAATGTGTATGTGGGGATGGGAGAAGCCTGTACACACACATGAAACTGTAAAAACTACCTGATTTTGTTAATATTGCCTGTAGATGGTAAATCTACAGAAACCAAGATTCAGGTAATTCATTGACTCTGAATTAACACTATCATCTCAGTTCACCTGTTTAGTCAACAAGGAAACTTTAAGTTTTTCTGACTTATACAATACAGGAAAAACAAACAAACAAAAACAAAAACCCTAAGTTTCACCGTCAGCTTTTCACTAACAATGTTACTACAGGCAGGGTATTCTTTCTATAGTGAACATTCACAGGGTGACATGCCATGAGTCTACTTGGGTTTAAATTTGTATCTGCACTCATGCAAAATAGTCCCCAAAGTTCAAAGACCATGTGACTTCAGAAGTGACTAAAACATAAAAAGGGCCTCCTTGGAAGACTAGAGCAGTATACCCACCCAGTTATAAGTCTAATCAAGAACACTTATTAGCCCCTTGTGAATTCCACCTTAAAGGAAAAAAGAAAACAAGTAGCCCCAAAAGGAAGAAGCAGCTCTGAAATTTAAAAAGAGAAAAAAATATATAATTTAAAACATCTTAAAAACAAACTTGAATACATGTTCAAAATATAGTTAAAGAGATACATTTTCATAAAACTATCTAGGATTAGGTTTATAATGTATTCTAGTATTTCAAGTTTATCATTAGTTATTAAGCATCAATTTACAAACAATAGGTTCATTTTTGTTGTTCATCGAGAAGGGAAATTCTAGTTTCAATCCTATCCAGTGGGAGGAGGGGTGAGGGCTGAGTAAATAAAGATTCAAACAGTTCCATGCAAATATCACATTTTTCAAATGGAAGAACTCCCAACTGAACTAGAAGTTCGTATTACTGATATACTTCTCATTGATACAATTTTTAATAAGTACAAATAAATGGCATTATGGTTCAGAACCTAATATAGGCCTGACTATCCATCAAGTCCTTGTATTCTGGAAGAAAGACCCTAAAACTCCCACTCGATTTTCAGTAATAATGTTCATTTAGACCAAATATATTTAGTTTCCAGCATGTTCTTGTTTTTAGCATTCTAGCCTAAAAACTAGAAAAGAAAATTAGTTGTTTCTTCGGCATTCCCCAGAAGTATGAAAGAATCCACAAAAACCTGTGACTCCCAACTCCAATCTATGCTTAAAATGAATTGTTCTATATATACTGTAAAAGGTAACTTTAGTTATGAGTATTAAGATTAGTTGTTAGAAAGATTTAACTAGCTTTATAATTTAAGATTTAAAACATAAATATTTGCAACTTGATCTTCTGTTGACAATGATTGTCAAAGCCTAGAATTCACCATCATTTAGCAATTCCCATTTGTGCACACAAAACACACATATCACACAACTTACTCATCTTGAGAATCTTCTGATTCCTTAAATCTTTGGCCTCCCAATCAATTCCAAGTGCAAACATTTTTAACTCAAACTTCACTCAAGATTTTTAACAGAAGTTTTCCATCCATACTTTATCCATGCTTTTCCCAATCTTTCAAGTTATACTACTAAAAAATCGAAACCTGCCTCAAAAATATCACCAGATAAAAATAATATATAAATGAAAACTTTTCAACATCCCTTAATGGGATATTTTATTTAACTGAATTAATTGTTTTAAGCAAGGACTGCCAAAAATCCTAGGTTGGATTCTTTCATATTCTTTGGCTACTGGCCAAAGAACCTACAAAAATATTTGGGAGTACACATCCTTTTTCATACAAAGAGTCCCACTGGAACAGGATAGTTGCAATTCATTTGAAGCCTCAGCTGTAGAAAGAGGTTGTCATAGAGGCAGCCAGGACACCCACTAGTTTGTGGAAAACCCTGAGAAAATGTGATTTTAAAATCTGTACTGGACTTAAATCTCACCAGTGTTCAGATGTTCCAGCTGATCTACCAGTACTCATACTACTGTTGTCTCACCCTAGGGCTTGCTGTTTAATAGCTATGGCTTTGGAATCTTACAAGTGGTATTCTAGCCAACTTGAAGATAGACTCTTAATTCCAGGTTTGCAGTTTTCAAATATCACTTCTTTATTCAACTCAGCAGCCATACTATGCCAACCACTTATGGAAAAAAATTTATCTCAATGATACTATATTTAACACTGTATAGTTAAGGACATAGCTGTACCAAAACAGGCATAATATAATTGCTGATGGTTGGTAATTTGATGTAAGAATCCATTCAATTGTGCCTAGTGGTTTATTTATTGCAAGATCAAAACTGAGTTGAAAATGTACCACACATCCATTAAAAAATAAATAACCTATATGAAAGATTCTGGCATAGATATGACATGAACAGAAAATAGATTGAGCGTACATGTTTCATTTACTCACAAACTTGCACACTAATGTTCTGCAAAACTGACAACTGAAGCAAAGAAAATTGTCCTTTTGCAAACAACTCTAAAAGCACCCCCTCCTCCAAAGAGGCCAAAATAAACATGCATATATATGAATAAAGTGTTACTATTCAACACAAATGCTATTTTTAAAAAAATTTAACTGCATAGGTTAAACATAACAAAAAAAATGTGCAACATCTTAAGCCATTAAAGCACCCCCCCAAAAAAAACCCCACCCCACACCCAAATCACTGTTTTCATGACCAGTAACATACAAAAAAAAAAAAAAAAAACAAAAAAACCCCACCCCACACCCAAATCACTGTTTTCATGACCAGTAACATACAAATAAAAAAACAATGATCAGAAAAGTTAAACACCTGGACTGATACACTGTCCTTTGTTGGAAGAGTTTTTCTTCAATTTAAGTGTCTTTTCTCATCTCTAAAAAAAATTTTAAAGTGCTAACTTTATATAAAGCAGGCAAATTCTTCAAGTAATTTGCTATTGAGTATGCCAATTTTTTTAGAGCTAAATAATAAACTAAGAATAAAGTGAAACAAAAAGCCACAGAATAAACTGACAAATTGTAGCCGGACAAAGTAAGAGAATGCTACACAATCTTGGCGTTCTCATTTCAATTAAACATACAAGCTAATAGATTTTAGGTTTCTACACTAAACTCCCTTGGATTTGCTAATTTACACATCAATCAGTACACAAAAAGTCATAAAGAAAGAGTGCCATTTAAGAATCAACATTGGACACTAATTAAAGCAATCTTAAAAAATAAAGTTACCTACTACTTTAATGAATATAAAATGTAATAATAGATTTTACAATCATACAATCTTAAGAAGCATAACCTTATCCAAAGTTTAATTACTCCTGCCCTTTAGCGGCTTTCTCAAGGAAGTATACGTTAACCGGATGGCGATTTAGGTGTTTGCTGTAATCTTGTTCCTTTCTAAAAGAACGATCACAAAAAATGCAAACGAAATCTCCCTCCGCCACTTTGACTGCTAAGGCTTCCTTTACACTTTCTCTATTACTTTCTTGTGAAACCAGTCGAGCCCCATTTAATCCAGAATCATCACTACCCTCTGACATGTTGTCACTTAGGTCGCTTCCATCATGACTGTGAATGCCTTCATCCTCGTCTATTTCCTGAGACTCATTTACTGTTGTGGTAACAGGAGGTGATGCCAGAGCAGTTTTGGACACCGCTTCACATTTTTCTGTTGGTGTAGAGAGAAGCAGTGGTAAAATTGGTTCCATTGCTAAGTCTTCACTAGAGAGATTCTCTCCTGTGTTCTGATCAGTGTCAGTTTCCATTTCAGAAAGCATAGTGTCAGCCTGATGCTTCCCATCTAAAATTTCACCCTTGGACATTTTTAAGTTTTGATCAGAAGATGAAACACTGGTAGACTGCTCAGTACTAGCAGCAAGACCAGCTACACTTTTGTCTACCTCTTCTCCCACTTTCTGAACAGGGTCGTTTTTATTGACTCCTTCCTCCACAGAGAATAATTTTTGGTCTTTTGATACTGCTTCCTCTACATTTTCCTTTGGCAGCACTGGTGATGATGGTATGAGTTCCTGTGTGTTTGTACTTTTCTTTAGAACCTGGCTATCTTTGTTAACAGGCACTAAGCCAACTTCAATAAGGATTTGCTCCTTCCGTGCCAGTTCACTCTGCATGTCAGCCATTTCCTTATTATCATCTTTTGTGGGAGGAGACTTTTTGGGAATCAGCTCCATCTGAGGACTAGGTTCCATCTGAGGAGGAGGGGTTTCTATCTGAGGAGAAGGCTGCTGCGTCTGAGGAGGAGGCTGCTGCGTCTGAGGAGGAGGCTGCTCCGTCTGAGGAGGAGGCTGCTCCGTCTGAGGAGGAGGCTGCTCCGTCTGAGGAGGAAGCTGCTGCTGCGTCTGAGGAGGAGGCTGCTCCGTCTGAGGAGGAGGGGGCTCTATCTGAAGAGGAGGGGGCTCTATCTGAGGAGGAGGCTGCTCCGTCTGAGGAGGGGGCAATTCCATGGGAGGAGGATCCACAGAAGGAGACTCTTGCTGCTGCTTCTGAGCCAGTCCTACCTGAGCAGGCCCCTTTTTAGCAGGCTTCTTCTGGCAAGGTCCCTTCTGAGCAGGCTCTATCTGAGATGGCTTGCTGCTTTTCTTACTTGATTTATTATTTTTTAGAGTTTTCTTCTTTGTACTTTTTTTCGTGCATGGCTTTTGCTTTCTATTTTCCTCTACTTTGTTGTCACCACCCTTTGGCACTTCCTGACTGATTTTGGATCTGCTTTCCACCTTCTTTTTCTTTTTAATCACAGGTTCTTCATCATTTACAAGATCATTCAAGGATGGCGCTTCAGTTTCCATCTTCCTTTTGCTTTTCTTGGTTTTACAGGATTTTTCTGAATTATTGCCTACATGCACATCCATCTCTTTAGTCTCTGTTGCTGATTTGCGAGTTCTGGTAGTCACTTGGACAACTGAGACACTGCAAGACTTTTTCTCTTTTGAAGCATTATCTTTTCTCTCTACTCTGACAGGCTTCTCAGATTTCTTTCCAGCCACCTCTCCCTTTGTTTTTGTCTTCTCTGTCTCTATTTTTTCATTGGCAGTATTGTTATCAGGTGAGTCAGCCTCCCTCTTTTTTGTTTTTTTTAGTTTCACTTTTGAAACATCCATAGTTTTATTAGGACACGTAGGATGCTTAGATTTGAAATGATACTGCAGATTACACTTCTTGGAAGCTGCATAGTCACACACAGGGCAATTGAACTGCCGGGGATTCACATGTAGCTCTACATGTTTTTTGAAGTTACTTCTATCTGCCGTTTTGTAGTCACAGTATGGGCAGTTAAGAGGTTTAGGCCCATTGTGAACCTGTCTTGCATGGCGGGTGACTTCATGTTGATTAGAGGCCACGTAACTGCACTGATCACATTTAAATGGCTTCTCACCTGGAGGTAAATGAGAAGTGTTTAGAGAAGACATAGGTTAAGAAATGAATTTAAGACCGGTTAATATGTACTTTTAAGAGGAGATATGTAAAAACCAGACTATTTGTTGAAAAGATTGTATCATGCACCTTATGCTTACCATACTTATTTATATAACTTTTCCCTGTCCTTTGATAATGATTCTAAAACCAAACAATAATTATCAGTCTACCATCATTCCTAAGAAAGTTCAAAAGGCTCTGAAGCACAACTAATTAAAGAAAACCTAAAATTCTTATACATTTTTAAGTTTAAGTCTTAAAACTTCAAAGACCTTTCTTAATACTCTGGGATATCCTTTCAAACCCAGAAGAAAGAGTAGAAAAACTGCTTTAGCCTCAGGGAGAAAAGATTTCTCTTTTTAAATTTAACCCTTGTCCATTGTGGTAAGTGCTATACATTTCAGAGCACCAACTTTCCAAATACCAGATCTGCTATCTTAAAGCAAAAAAATAGCCAACAAAGTTTTTCAGAAAGTTTTTCTTGCTCCCCACCCCCCATTTTCTTCTATAAAATTGGTAAGGAAGTTAGGTAAGTGAGGAGAGGCATACAAATAAATATAAATAACAAACGAGAACATCAAAATCACAGATACGTACGTACAAAATCAGAACCACTCCCCCCCCCCCAATTAAAGGGACAAGATAACACATTCTACCTGAATACATACCCATCTAGATCACACTCTAGCAATATTACCAAATGGTATCCATACCCCACTGGTCCAATGGAATGCATAGTAGAAAAATGGAAATGGACATTTATGAAAATTCAACTCTCAAACATTAAATTCATATAAAATCTTAAATTTTCATAAAGCAAAACTATTCAGACATTAAAAGCAAAGCTATATAGATATTAAGCTTTACATGATTAGAAAATGTCTGGTAATAACGTGAAATACTGAATCATACAATAAAAACGTATCCAGGTATGTCATTCTGGATATGCAGCAAACTAAACAGATGAGTCCACTAATGGATTCACAAATATGTGGTTGCTACAACATGCTCCATTCTCTTTACTTTGTCTTTTGAAACTAATGACTTAAATGGAGACAAATATAAGTTTACCATGTATAGACATATATTTGTTAAAGATAGGTGGCATAGTGGTTAAGAACTCAAATTCTAAGGTAAAAGTATCTGGGGGATCAAATATGAGATCTGCAACATGATTATTGTGAGACCTTACACAAGGTACACTTCAAACTCTCTAGGCTCAATTTCCCCATTGGGAATATAATCTAAATATTGTGAGATATAAAGAATTTAATCCTTGAAAAGTACTCTGCAAGAGATAAACATTAGGCCCTCAATAAGTATACTTATCCAAAAGCAGACCACTTTTGGAACCAACTGGTAATTTTTAGTACAAGTATGTAAAAAGCTGGTAACTGAAATGTATCTCAATGAAAATATGTGTACTCATCAAGGAATGACAACTAAAATATTACCACTTTGTAAACCCCTGTAAATGAGATCTGATCAGCAAGTATTAGTTGTGATGCACATTCCCACTATGGCAAGGGCCCAGAGGGGTGATGTTGTTTTTAAGTGCTGTCGAGTCGGTTTCGACCCATAGCGACCCTGGACAGGGTTTTCGAGGCTGTAAATCTTTACGGGAACAGATCGCCTCATCTTTCTCCCACGGAGCAGCTGGTAGTTTCGAACTGCTGACCTTGCGGTTCGCAGCCCGATTCATAACCACTACGCTACCAGGGGTGATAGGTAAAATTTTTATGCTTAACACATGGTGGAATAATTAACTTGCTACTCCATTATAGGCAAAAGTCAGCATTATGCAAAATTTGAGGATAAACACATCAGATAACAAACTGGAGGATGACTATATCTCTCTTCAACAGAAAGGCACTCAAAGCAAAGGGGCAAGCGTCAAAAAGAGGAAAATATATTAAAGTCAGTGAGTTAACCTCTGAGAATACTTTAGATGGAGTATTACAAGGAGACCACAAGGTCAGTTTGAACTGCAGGGTGAGTGGTTCAATTTCACCAGCCACTCCTCAGAAGTCCTATACCTGGTTGCTATGAATCAGAACCGACATGGTGGCCCTTAACAACAATTCAAAATATTAAAAAAAATTACTCTAAAATTCATGATGACTCAAATTGCACCAATTTTTAGACAAATTCAACTATTAAATAATTATACTAATGACTATGGCGATGGCACAGGACTGTTACACTTGGAGAAAAATTGACTTCTACTTTTCCATTAACAGAACACCCACTACCCACATAATGGGGAAAAACACAAAATTAAATCCTATACTAGCAAAATGAGGTAACTAGATAGTGTGCTAAATAAAGTATAATTACTGTTGCTAGATGTTGCTGAGTCAGTTCTAACTCATAGCGACCCTATATACAACAGAAAGAACACTGCCCAGGGTCCTGAACCATCCTCACAACTGTCTATTGTTACTGCTATTGTGTCATCACTCTATCTTGTTGAGGGTTTTCCTCTTTTTCACTGACCCTCCAACTTGACCAGGCACCATGTCTTTCTCCAGGGATTCGTCCCTCCTGACAATACGTCCAAAGTATGAGACGAAGTCTTGCCAGTACAATCAGGCCATTGTCAAGAGTACAAAAACATTATAATGGCAATTACAAATGAGATGGTGGCCTCACTACTGAAGGAAAGAGAACGAAGAATAAAATTATAAGAACAGAGGATCTGTGAGGTCAGTCTATGATCAAAACAATTACAATGTGAAAGAAGGTAAACACAGAGAAACAGAGATCCAGGTGGTGGGAAGGTCAGGTAGATTACAGGATAGACTGTCTTAAACAGAGGGAAGAGTTAATGGAATATAAGGTAACCACAACAGTGAGGTTGGGGTTGGGGGTTTAGTTTGGGTGTTGGGAGAGGGCAATACAAGAAGGGGGAGGAGGCAGAAGAACAAGATAGATAGGGGAACACTTGAGACATGTTTGCATGTTCTTTCTAAGTGGGACAGAAGTAGAGTGATGCATGCTAAACCTTGGAACAAGGTTCTGTGATACAAGGAACTAGGCATAGCTTGAAGAGGGGAAATAATACTAAGATGCTTGCCTGTCTTATGAATATTGGTTTCCCTGCCTACTATTGTAAAATAGACACTTGAGTGGGATATAAAGGAATGTTGGGAAACATGATTACAGAAAACTTGTAAGCCCGTTGTCAGCCGATAACTGACTGGAATACCTAGAAGGGCTTCTAGAACTTGCCAAGTGAAATAGGCCTCTTGCAAAGCCTTTACAGAGTATAGAACCTTAGGTGGAGAATCCTGAGTTCCATCCACAACCTTACAAGGTGGGATATTCCCACTAGAAAGGACAAGCCGACCAGCCTGGAACAGCTAGAGCAAAAGAAGATAAATCTTCAAAGAAAGACCATCAGGAAAAACCCAAAACCAAAATATCAGCGTGACTGGCACCTACAAGAATAAGCAAGCCATCAAGGCAAGCAATCAAGTTCATTCAGAACAAACTCCCCTTTAAGACTGAAACTCAAAGGGAACAAACAAATAAGCATGTAAGCTTGCTGACAACCACATTGGTCTACTGGTGAGTGGAAGAGGGGGAAAGGCAGCAATGAAGAAATGGGGTGAGTTCAACCACAGTCCACTGACTCTTGCTGACCTGGAGATGAGAGAGAAAAGAGGAAGGGCTGGTTGGTCCAAAGTGTGGTGAGACCTGAGAACACCTGAGCCCATGGACAAGGACATAGCCACAGAGGGCTAGAGCTGAGAGTGAAGCATCCAGCTGATATGAAGCGAGGGGAGATGCACAAGAACATCCAAACTTGCAGACAGCACCCCAGCTAGCCCTAAAGGCTTGATAATCAGAACTCACCTAGATTTTTTTTTTTTTTAAATAAAGGAAACAAGGGTAAATTGTTACAATTTGATAACCCTGACCTATCCTCATTGAGGTAGTAACTCTAAACACCAACAGAGAGAAAAGAGTCTTCACATCAAGTATCAATGCTATCCCCTCTGTATGCAGGGTAGACAGGGACAGGCAACTTAAAACACTGGCTACCTAAAAGGAATCGGGCTGCAAATCGCAAGGTCAGCAACAGTTCAAAACTACCAGTTGCTCCACAGGACAAAGATGAGGCTTTCTGCTCTCGTAAGGATTTAAAGCCCCGGAAACCCTGTACAGGGTCACTATGAGTCAGAACCCACTCCACAGCACTTAACAACAACAACAACAACCTAAAATAAGAGGGCGTTAAAGGCACAAAGTAACTGGCTTACAAGGTTTCAAGAAGGAGTTTAAGAGAAGCAGTGATGCCTGAGATAGAGGCAGAGATGATGACATGGAGAGATGGAGCAGCTGGGGACTTTAAACACAGAGAGGGAGAGGGGCTGTGTGCTGAGGACCGAGGGCCAGACTTGCAGTGTATCCCCTCTGGTTGGTTGATGATGCATGGAGGGGATTGTAATCATGGCAATGAAGTGATATATGATAGGATGAATGTAAAACTAATGTTCTCCCATGTAAACTATCACATAATTCACAATAAAATATTAAAATGATAATAATAATAATAATAAGTATGGGGGAGGGGGAGAGAAAGAGTTCCTATTGAATAGTTTCCATCTTGTCTAGATGGGTCTGGTGAAAAGAGATGGGGATAAGATTTGTATGATTCAAAAGTGAATAACTGTTATCATGACTAATTGCGACTGTCACAATTGTAAAGGTAGGAGTTTTGTAAAGGTAGGAGTGGTTAATCTTACAGTCCAGAAACAGAGGACCTTAGGGCCATCAAGGGAGAAGAGCACAAGCAGAATGTGGGGCCTTATCCAGAGAAGCAGCAACACTAGAGACAGAGGCAGAGATGGGGTCACGGAGATGGATAAATCTTGAATTACTAGTATGCTAGTAAGAACTATCAGAAAAAAAAGAAAGAGGAAAAAACAAAACAAAACAAAAACCCTAAAAGCTATGTAGGACACCATGAAGAGGAACAACTTACGGGTGACAGGAATCCCAGAATAGGAAAAGACAATAAAAAGCAGGCAAAATTTTCTAAGAGTTGTTGAAAGAAAACTTTGTAACATCATGAAAGACAAGACATAGAAGCGCAAATAAAGATTTAAATTCAATTCTTTATTATAAAAGACATACAAGAAGCAGAACAAACTCCAAACAAGATAAATCCCAAAAGAAAATCACCAAAATATTATCAATCAAAACCAATTTGGGGGGGAAATGTCAAGTTATCTACAATGGAGAATTACTAAGACTAAGCTCTGCTTTCTCAGCAGACACCATGCAGGTAAGAAAGCAGTGGGATGACATATACAAAACTCTGAAAGAAAAAAATTGCCAACCAAGAATCATACACAAAAGGGTAACCTTTGGACTGGGTAAGGAACAGGATCCATCCTTCAATATGGTATCTACAAGAGACACATCAAAAAGATGGAGACAGCCTAAATGTCCAACAGAATGGTTAAACAAACTTAGGTGCAAATAGAGAGAAATACTGTTAACTGCTGCTATGTGGAAGGAATTGCAATCTCTGTAATGAAGCAAAGTATATGATTTGCTGAATGTAAAACTGACGATCTACTGTGTAAATCTTAACTCAATTCACAATAAAAACATTTTAAAAAATGGTACATGGAGGGGATTATAATCATCATTGTAATGAAACAAGGTGTATGATTTGGTGAATGTGAAACTGATGATCTGCCCTATTAACTTTTACTCAGTTCACAATAAAAACTTAAAAATAAAAGGGAGGGAGGAATAGTATAGGTTTAGAATTTTCAAATGGTAAGGAAGTAGACTTCAGGATAAACAGTTTTAACTTGAAAAAAACTTCTAATAAATTACAGGGTACCCAGTAACTTACCCTGAAAATTAATACACCTGCACATCAAAATGAAAATAAGAAAATCAGAAAGATTTAGTAAACATTAACACAGCAGTAATTAAAATGAAAAGAAAACTCACAAACAAAATGAACAAAACACAAAAAATCATGTGGAACAAAGAAACCAGCAGCACCACACACAAAAAAGCAAAATGACAGCAATCAATTTACACCTATTAATAATAACACAGAATGTCAATGGATTAAATGTACCAGTCAACAGCTAAAGAGAACAGAATGGATAAGGAAATGAGATCCTTCAATACTGCCTGTAATAGACACATCAAAAAGATAGAGAAAGCCTATGTCCATCAACAGAAGACTAGTTAAACTTTGGTGGTGGTGTTGTTATGTGCCGTGGAGTTGATTCTGACTCATAGCGACCCTGTACAGGGTTTCCAAGGCTGTAAATCTTTATGGGAGCAGACTGCCTCATCTTTCTCCCGCGGAACCGCTGGTAGTTTCGAACTGCTGACCTTGTGGCTCACAGCCCGATTTGTAACCACTAGGCTAATAACTATGTAACACCAAAGAAAAATCTGTAAAACATCTCACAACATGGATGAACCTGGAGGACATTATGCTGAGTGAAACTAGTCAATCATAAAAGGACAAATATTGTTGAGACCAATGTAAAAAGTTAAGAAAAGGTTTTATTAATGAAACAATCTATAGGGGAAAGAAGGGAAAATTATTCACGGACTAGAGAGTAGGCGCTCTCGTAGCCTAGTGGTTAGGAGTCAGGCTGCCAACCTCAAGGTCAGCAGCTCGAAACTACCAACAGTTCTACAGGAGAAAGATGAGACATTCTGCTCCCGTAAAGATTTACAGCCTTGGAAACCCTGTGCAGGGTCACTCTGAGTCAGAATCGACTCCACGGTACTTAACAACAACAGAGGGTAGACACATGTTAACATGGGTGGCAGGGCAAGCCATATACAACAAGAGCGAGGTTAGTAGAAGAAAGATGAAGGTATCAAGAGACACAACACAGGAAAGGATGCAATAATTAAAAGTGAATAGAGAAAAATACTGCTAAACTGATGGTAGTACCTGGAGGGGATTACAATCATAGTAATGAAGCAAAGTACATTATTTGCTGAATGCACAACTGATGATCTGCTCTGTAAACTGTTACTTAATTCACACACACCAAAAAAATTTTCATAAAAAACCAGCCATTGAAAACCGTTTGTTAGAAACACCAATAAAATGAAGCCAACACCACTAGATTTAATCCAGCGTGCCTGAACTTTCACCAATATCCAATTTTCTTTTTCCTCAAACCAACATTCTGAACCCAAGACCTACCCCCGTAAGTACTCCAAGTAAACCACCAATGCAGTTTTGTTTCATAAACCACTGTCAGTTTGGCTAAAATGTACCAATTAAACAAAGAGCTCCCAAAAGGAACTCTGATAGCTTTCTGCTCCCATAAAAATTTACAGCCTCGGAAACCCTGTTCAGGATCGCTATTAGACAGAACCGACTCCACGGGACATAACAAACAACAGTTTCTCCCAAAAGTCAGTCAGAGAACAAACTGCTCTTCTCCAAGTCATTCTGGTGAACAAAGCAACAAAATGCCCAAGATGACCTACAGATCAGATCACTTGACACCAAGATAGTCATTCCATGAGAAAGACCATCCAATTTGACTTGTTTTAGCATAATTTTATTCCATGTGCCACCAGCAACTTCTATTCAAATGTTTTCCTAATCTAGTGCCTTAGTATCCTTAGCTAGTAACTATGCAACCACTCAAATGCGACCTATTTTGAGGGAGACTAAGTCTTTGCAGGTATTACAAATTTGCACGTAAGAGCAGGACCCAGAGAAAAGCTGTATGACATCATAAAAAAGCATGTAGACAAATAAGAAAGGGGAACATTCTGTAGTAAAAAATAGCCGTATTTCTTCAATGCCTTAATTTGTCCATCTGTAAATTGGGTGTAATAATAAGATTTTCTAAGTCATAAGAGAGTTATATAGAGTAAACTGAGTTAACTCATGAAAATCTCAGTGTTTTTACTTAGGGCCTTAGACACAGCTATCAACAAGACTCCACACAAACCTCAACAAAGTCTGAGATTGCATAAGACCACATGTTAATTTAAACAACAACAAAAAGCTTAGCCACCTGTATACTTTGAAAATGAAAACTCAATCTAGGTGTTTACCATGATTATTTCAAAAACTTAAGCAGATTAATCTTTCACTTGCTATATATGGCCTTGTACTTTTATAGGTTGAAAACAAATTGGTATTCTGGATTTTTTTTTTTAAATAATTTTCTTATGCATTTAATTTTTGTAAGTCATCCCTTAAAAGTCATCAACTCTCAAAATAATAAATCCAAATTTCAGAACTCAAGAAGAGGAAGCTCTCGAACCTGACAATCATAGCCACAGCCACATGTTAGGAAAGACAACATTTCCTAGGTGGAGAATGACATGTTGGTAGAAGTGTGAGAAGGTAGAGATTGTTAAAAAAAAGTCTTGGCCTGTGTGTGACAGCAGTTCAAATTTTATTGGAGTTATGCAATTCCTTGAAGATCTGATTTAATTTATGGACCCCTCTCTTCCAGAAAAAGTAAACAAACATATGAATATTTACATTCAGTTCAGGAGCTTATCTGTGGATTCCAGGTAAAGGATCTTATCACTATGCTAAGAGAATACTGATATTTTTTTTTTGCCAAATAAGCCATGCCACATAACCCCATGTTAAAAAATACATTATAAACAACCAGTTCCAAGATTTCCTAATGGTAGTTTACAAAAAATTATTTTTTAAAGTTCCCATTTCATACTGACCTGAATGAGTACGCATGTGTCTAGTTAAATGAGTCTTCTGAGAACTTGAGTAAGGACAAAGTTCACATTTATATGGGCGTTCTCCTGTAAAAATAATGATTAAATGTAACAAAATCAGCCATATATAACAATATTTGCAATATTCAGCACTGATAATTTTTTAAAAAGGATACTTTTCCTAATGGCAAATAATTTATATTGTTGTTAAGTGCCATTGGGTCAGTTCCAACTCATAGTCACCCTGTACAGGGTTACGAGGAGGGACTGTTGAGTCTAAACCACCAACCAGTGCTTATCCTACAGCACCACACCAAATATAGCGTGTATTAGATGAGTAAATAATTTGATTCAGAAATTAAATAACATTACTTTAGGTTGACTTCCACAAAATGCTACATGCTATTACATTAAGTAATTTCTTAGCTGTTTTTTCACTCACATGGTTCCCATATAGCTACAAACAGAATAACTTTCTATGGCAACTAATAATTAAGACATAACTGATGTATAAACACAACTGAATAAGCTGTGGGTGATCTGAAAGGCTGGTGACCCTCCCCAGATGTGTCTCTGAAGACAGGTCTGGTTCTGAAAGGTTCAAGCCTTGAAAACCCTGTCGGGCATTTCTGCTCTTGCACACATGGGATTATCAAGAGTCAGAATTGACTGACAGCAATTAACAGGTTAGGTGCAATCTAAAAGAAATATAATACCAAAGGTTGCCAAGGACATGGAAGGACTGGAACCCTCATATATTTGGTGGGAACATAAAATAGTACAGCAACTTTGGAAACTAGTCTAATAGTTCCTCAAAAGAAAAAAGGTCAGCTACTAACTATATGATCCAACAACTCTACTCCTGGATGGAGATACCCAAGAAAAATTAAACAATGTCCACATAAAACTACACCAGGGTTCACAGAACCAATATTCATTGAGTCAAAAAACAGAAACAGCCCAAACATGCACCTGATAAATGGAAAAGCAAAATATGTGTTGTCATACCATGGATATTATTCAGAAAAGCAAAGCAAAAGAACTATTGTACATACAAAAATACTAAGTGACAACCAATGACCACCACTTGTGAGAGTCAATTTATATGAAATGTCCAGACCAGGCCAATCCAGAGAAGTATACTGGTGGCTCCCTTTCACTGGGAAAGTAGTGGGGAGATGGGGGTGGGGTAGGGGAGAATTGCTAAAGACTAGGCTCCTAACCTCAAGGTCTGCAGTTTAAGAACTCCGTGGGAGAAAGCCTCATCTTTCTGCTCTCATAAAGATTTTCAGCCTCAGAAACCAGACTCCACAGCATACCGCCACCACCAGGTATGGTACTAGCAATCATTTACTATGTCTCTTCTAGTCCACAGTCTTTGTGACTTCCGAATGATTGGTTAGAATATCCTATAAATAGGATTATGAAATTCTACCATGGAGATTAGTCAGTTTTGCCATCCTTTTATTTTTAAAATGAGGCATCTCAAGACCATCAAGAAAGAAGAGCTTTACACAGCTGTGACAGCAGCACAGAGAGACACAGCAGTGGACTTCCTGATTGATGAAAGGTGTAAAGCTGAGTGCATTCAGGCAGGAGGCTGGTTTGCAGAATTAGGTGTCCTTTGACCATTTATCAACAGCACTAAAGGAATCTTCTAAGAGACACTCCTGACAAGAGAGCTGTTGTGTCCTGTTAACCTCCTTAATAAGCCCCATAATCAATATTATCTGTGACCTGTGCAGCCAATGCAACAGATTATAGAACCTAACAGAAAAATAGACTGGGAGGGCTAATTGGTGTTGGAATAGGATTAAAAAATTGGTGGATGCATATCTGACTTCCACCTAGACCTTGGGCTCATGATTCTCCTCCCCCTTGGGAAGCCAGAGGTGTTCAGACACCATCCTCCACACATCAGTTTTTGCAGCATGGAATTTGTAGTACAAGATTCTGGGGTGATGAAAATGTTCTAAAATATTAAGCTAAATGAAGTGAGTCAGTCATGAAAGGGCAAATATTATACGACCCGAACTTTTAAGAAATACCTAGAATACAGGAGGGAGTTAAGGGTGACTCACTGCTTAGGAGACATTGAGCTTCTGCTAAGAATGATGAAAATTTGGAAATGGATAATGATAATTGAACAACATAATGGAAAGTTGTTGATATGTGCCGTGGAGTCGGTTCCAACTCATAGTGACCCTGTACAGAGTTTCCGAGGCTGTAAATCTTTACGGGAGCAGAAAGCCTCATCTTTCTCCCACGGAACAGCTGGTAGGTTTTGAACTGCTGACCTTGAGGTCTGCAGCCCGATTTGTAACCACTACACTACCAGCGCTCCTTATAATGAAAAGTAATGTCCTTGAATTGTACATGTAAAAAATATTAAAATATTGAATGCTTTTAATGAAATTATATTTACACAAAAAGTCATCAGAGGTTTAAATTTTTCATAACAGTAAACTTTTTATCTGTAAAACTCCACAAAAATAAACCTAAACACTAAATGTTCTAAAAAGACTGATTAGTTAGTGACTTCTAAGTCACATATGTAGGCAAAAAGGTGATCTCTTTTAAAGTTATTTGTGAATTGGTTAAATATCAAAACCACAAAATTAAACCTTTTGATTAAAGAGGCTTACTCAGAAATAATACCTAGTTCTGCCTCTCCCCCAAAACAATTACCTATAGAAGTTCTGAACTTAGAATTCCAGAAGTATGTGTCTTTAGGGAATGAGGGGTAGGGTATAGCATCATTTCAGGCTTTCAAGCTCAGTTTTCCTTTCTAGTAATATGAACTATTGTTTCCTGACTGGTTTTTCCTTAATGAATCTTCCTAAAGAGTAGAATAAAATAGAACGCACCTAACACCAGGTATTTAATAAGGAACAGATGGACTCTTATTAAATGAACCTGAAAACTAGACTACTACTAATAATGAAGAAAAATAAATGGTTCTCTTGATGAGGCAACTGCAGGTTAAGTACTAAACCCCAACGTGGGTTTCAACTGCAAGGTCATGATTCAAACTCAGGAGCAGCTCTTTGGAAACCCTATAAGGGTAACTACTGAGTCGGGAACGACTGGACGGTTAACAACTAACTACAATTTTCATTCTCCACTGTTCAGCACCAGATAAATCTATTTTCTCATAAATTCAGTTTTCAAAACAATGCATTTAGCACATCAGGATACTCTCAGAATTCATGTAATTAAATCTTTTCACCAAACTGTATTTTTAAAATGCAAAAAAATCGTAACACACCAATCAAGGAAAACAAACTTTTAAAAGGGCATCAAGATAAGAGTTCTATTTGCAAATATACAACTATGGAGCTCAGAAATGTTGCTTAGGCCTTTCTTGCAATAGAATTCACCTGCAAGTTTTATTGTTTAACTTCTAAGAAAAGCACTTCCCTGTCTGGATCCCTGTTCTTTACAGGTGCAGGAAGGGATCAATCCTACAGAGTGCTGCCTCCAGGAATGGGGATTTCGTAACAAATAGCATCTACAGTCCCCTTTCACTTGTGTGATCCAGAGGGTGCAGTATACTTTGTGGTTGTTAAGTGCCGTTGAGTTGGTTCCAACCCATAAAGACCCTGTATAGGATTTCCAAGGACCAGCTGGTGAGCTTGAACAGCCAACCTTTGCAGTTCAAACTGACAAAGCAGTTCTGCGCATACTAGTTATTCTCTATCCATTGTTTAAGCAGTAACCAAACTTCAATTCTCACCAAGAAAATGTCAACATTAACTACCAATATCCCAAACTTACATCCATAGGTATGTATGATTCCCACTCATGTTGTTAAGTGCTGTTGAGTAGGTTACAACTTCATAGCAACCCTGTAGAGGTTCCGATGGGTTTGAACCACCGATCTTGCTATTATTAGCAACTCAATGCATAACACACAGTGCAAACAAGGCTCCTTATTAACTACCAGTAGTTAGAAATATTTCTTTGAAAAAGAAACCACACAATTTGAATGCAACAAAATATTGATAACTGTTAATTAGGTGAGGAATACAAGCCGGATTCTTGTGGTACAACTCTTTACTTCTGAGGTGCAAAGACAACTAACTTCTGTTTTTCTGACAAAGTTGAGGTTAAGGACTAGGACAGAGGTCCTTACCTGTATGAGTTCGAACATGCTGAACATAATTGTTTTTTCGGTCTGAAAAATAGTTGCATTTTCCACATGTGTAGACTTTCCTAGGAAAATGGTTTCTCAAGTGTTTCCTCCAGTGATACTCGCTTACTGTGGTATACGTGCAAATAATGCACTTGTAGACTCGCTCATTATCCCCAGCTCTGGTGTGGTGTTTCAGATGCGCAGTGTAGTGATCATATCGGTTGGTATTGTAACCACAGCGGTCACAACGAATAGGGCCCTTGGAGAAATCTCCCTCTTCTGCACTGGAAGAGCCCAATTCCCTTGCCTTTGCTTGTTTCTCTGCACTTTCTTCCACAAAAAATTTCTTGGCACTGTGAACTCTGATGTGATGCACAAACTGTTCTTCAGATTCTGCTTCATATTGGCATGGCTTACAGCGAAAAGGTTTGGTCTTCAAGTTCTTGCACTTGTCCTCTGTTCCAGGTGTTTCAGTAGGAAGATCTTTATTTGCATTATAAACTTCTGGGGCAGCAGTCACCTCAAATACAGGTTGAGGTTCTACAACATTGAGTTCCAAACTTTCCAGGTCCATATTCTCCAGTCCATTAGGTTCACCTTTTATTTCAGGAGAGTCTTCAAGTACTTCTGCATCACTGTCTGAAAAGTTATTATCCCCGACAGGCATCAATTCTGCCATTTGTCTTTCTTCACCAACCAAGTAATCACAGCAGCTGCCATTTACTTCGCCAGTCAAAGCTACATTTGCCAACATGATAAGCTGAGGCGCGGCCAGTTCAGCTTTAGAGAGGTCATGCAAGTCATACATGTCATTAGGCAAGGCCATGCCAATGTTGTTACTGTTGGTGAATAGTCCTCCTCCTCCTCCTCCTCCAGAAGACTGTCCCATTACCTGGGCGGCCATAACTGCACCCTGAATTTAAAACAAACAAAACCAAAGCAAACAAACAAAACAGAATTTTTAATAGGCTAAAATGAAAGCATGAATGTTAGTCTTCATAACTTACATTTTAAAAAAAAGTTTAACATAATCTATAAAATTTAAGAAGCTTCAGAAACTACTAGAAATAAACCTTCGAAATATTTTTACAATCACCCAATTCTCTTTTCTGCAGTCAACAAAATTTCTAGTACCCCCAAAAATGGACACATTTCATCCCTCTACTAGGTCTTCTTGTTAATCATTTCCAACTCATGGTGACCCAGTATAGATAGGGTTTCCCAGGAGTAGCCGCTGGTGAGCTTGAACCAGCGAGTGTGCAGTTCAAGGCAACCTTTGCAGTCCAGGGCCACACTAGGACTCCTCCCCTACTAGGTGATGAATTTTATATTTGATTGGCATGCCTTCCCTCAAGAACTTTTCATTTTTCTGGTGGGAAAAAGAAAAACCAACCCAGAGTAATCTTCATTTTAAACGTTAATTAAAAAATTCTCCCTCCTTTCAACAACTCACTGGTCTGAATCAGCTAGTAGATAATTCTACAAACCATACTGTGCAGTATGTTCACAAGAGTATCAGGAAAGTGGAAGGCTATGATAATTGGCCAACCTAATTAAATTTCCTATCACCCCTAACTAACTTAGAAGACTAAGCTATTGAGGAAAAAAAAGCGCCACTTAAGTCTAAATTTTTCGATGACTCCACTGGTTTAAAGGAAGGGCGAAAAAGGCATGAAAAAGGGAGTCTAGCGTCTGTAAAACGTCATAAATAAAATACGGAATAAATCTTTCAAATCCTCTAATAACAACGTACAACTCTGCATTCTACAATCAGCAACTTTTCTGCATTGTGCTTGACTTGGCCTACTTGCCATAGTGGAAGCCATTACAAGATCACCTTCTTGAAAACATGTTGGCTTTTTAAATGGTCTTGACCATCACGTTACTTTCCAAATACTTTAGCTGTTCTCTTGCAAATTAGAAAAGGCAAAATAAGTGACAGGTGATCCCTAAAAAGTAGAGTGAAACCTACAGTACAAAAAGGAAAACGGTGTTCACCCAAGTTTCTAAACACAAACGTGTTTAGTTATAGGTAAATGCCAACACAGAAAACCAACCGTAAAAGCGTTCCCAGTACTTAACAGCACAGGCTATCGCTACTTAGCCACAGATCCACTTTTCTAATCCCTCCAAAACCCTACACCTCCACTCCTAAAGCAATTTTAACATTCGTCGGGAAGATCGTCCCAGCAGAGCCCAACAAGTTACACGAATTCCTATGTGCTGCTGCCACCAGCGCCGGCCTCGGCGGCGGCATTCCTGACTGAAATAGGCATTCGGCCATTTTCTCAAAATACCAAACACAAAGCAGCTCTTTGCAAACTCGGGCGCTCTCGCTTCCTCTCGGGCCTACACACTGCTCTCATCTACACACCAACTCTCGGGAGCTGCCCTAAGACCAGTCCTGAAGCTTTTCCTGTGCCCCTCAACATTAAAAACGAGGGGAATGGGAACTTTGAGGCGCCGTTGGGCCATACCAAGTCTTTCCCAACTCCAGGCGGTCCCATTCCCGGCCCGAGCGGAGGAGAAAAGGAAGAAGGTTACCGCTGTACCGGCGTCCCAGCTCTCCCAATCGCCCCGGGGCTCGCCCTCAGCTCAGAACCTGCGAGGCTCCGAGGGCGCCCTCGGGAGGAGTCGGTCCCGAGCACAGGCTGTGGCCCCCACGCGCGCCGGCCGCCACCCCCGCGCCCCGGAAGTTTGCAAACTTCACTCCCCCACGGCGCCCTGCAGGACGCTCTCCTCTGGCCCGCCAGGTCGGGCGACAAGGTGGCCGTGCGCGGAGGGCTGGGGCGCCACCGGGGCGGCCCGTGCGCAGAAATCGCTGTCCAGCCCCATTGGCGGACCCGCCCGAGCCCCGGGGCTGACTCAACCCGCTCGGCCGCACTCAACGGCGCCTTCGGCGAAAGGGAGAGGCCAGGGTGGGGAGGGAGGAGGCGCGAGGGCCTCGGGCCGGCGCGGGGCTGCTGCGGGCGGCGGGACCTGGGAGCAGGAGGAGGAAGTTTCAGGACTGGGGCCCCGAGCAGCTCCGCTCCGCGGCCTCAAGACCGGAATCCGAGGGGCACCGGGCTCGCGCCCAAAGGACGGCCCCGCCTCGCCTGGGGAAGGGGTCCCGGGGACGCGCCGCTCCCCAAGGACGCCCCCAGCCCAGCCCCTGAGCCGTGGCGGTGTAACCGGATCCCACTTGGTTGCCCGCCCCCGCCCGGTAGGGCCGCCGCCGCCAAAGCCACAGTATCTGCAAATCAGCCCTGGACAGCGCCTCGCTCCGCGTCCTTCCGCGCCCTCCCCCGCCCGCCGCCCGCCACCCGCCACCGCCCGGCTGGCCCTCCCCCACGTCGACCGAGCCCCAGCCCCGCTTACCCGCCTAACCTGGAGAGGACGAACGGGCGACCCGGCGTCGCCGCTCCTTCTCCGACTACTTTTCTTTGTTGCCGGAGTTTCGGGAAGGGGAGGGGGAGGGGAAAAGTTGGGCTGTAGGGCCGTCGAGGCCCGCGAAGGCCCAGGATGGGTGGCGGCAGAGTCCTCAGGCCGCTGGCCCTCGTCCTACTATCCCGGCCGCCGCCGCCGCCGCCGGGGTCTGGGGCCCGGGGCCTCGGCGGCGCTCGCTGTGCCGCTGCGCTGAGAGCTCGCGGGAGCCACACATTCCAACACAGGAGGCTGCGCTGCGCACCCGGCCCGCGCCGCCGCCGCCCGCGGGACACGCCCCCTCCACCGCCCGCGCGTACTCGCGAGACACGCCTCCTCCACCGCTCGCGCGCGAGGCCACAGGGCGCGTCCCGCCTTAGGGCGAGGGGGCTGCTTAACGGGTTTGGGGGCGCGCGGAGCGGAAACCGCACCTAAGCCGCGAGGCCCCTCACTCTTGCCCTCAGGTCAGAAAAGAGGCGGGGCCCGCTCCCTTTTCTTTATTTATTTTATAAACAACAGAAAAGTTACCCCTAGCCCTGTGCATGAGAATAGAGCTGTTAAAAGAAAAATCTGCAGGCTTTCACCATTCTTTTCAGTACTATTGTCACCGGCCTCTTAAGTCTAAAGCGCACAAAATTACACTTCAAAATCCCTTCAAGTCTCCACCCAGTCCCACCCTTAACTAATTAAACTTCGCTTTAAGCTTTCCAAATAAAAATACAATCCAAATTTCAAACTGTAAACTGGGGAAATGTGATGAGTGTGTGCGTTGTGAGAAGAAAATGTTTGGGGAAGGAGGTTATGAACAGTGATGTTCAAAGCCTCAGAACACTTAGGGAATTTAGCGCTGAGGGGACAAGTCCCTAGAAGTGTCCAGTAGCAGGTCATTACTTGTGCCCTGAACACACGATTACAATTGAGGAATAGAAGCCAGGTTACTGAGGGTGAGGCCGATGTCCACGTGTTGCAAACTTGGCTTCTGGGATAACCATACAAGGTGCCTGGCTTTAAAAATACATAATAATTTCATGCGGTTCTTTCTTTCTGTTTTCACCTACAGTACCTTTGGTTCCTTCTTAAAACATGGGCTTTAATGCCAAGCCTGTTCCCAACGACCTACAAACTACAAATATATACCCCCTTAATGTGTCATTCCAGGCCTTACCTAACCTGATGTAGTTAAGCAGAATTTTAACTAATAGGACTTCCAGAGTCCTCACTTTCTGGTATATTCCTCAGTTGTTGTTAAGTGTTAAGTGCTATGGAGAGGGTACCGAATCCTAGCCACGCGGTATAGGGTTTCCGAGGTAGCGTGACTGGTGGGTTTGAATCGCCCGCTGACCTCGCAGTCCAGTGCTTTTCCTACGGCGCCGCACCAAGATCCTACTCCTCAGTTGTTGTTAAGTGCTTCTTTTTCTATATCGACGCAATATATTACTAATATATATCTTGCTTTAGATGCAAGATGGAATGAAGAGGCTAAAGAGACCACTATAAGTTTCAGCAACTTCATTTCAAATGCAACCCCTCCCCCACTGCAGCCCAATTATCAAACTTGAAAAGTATTCATTTTCATTTACAGAAAGAGCAAGAATTAAAGAACAAGACCAACTTTTTTAGATGTTTAGGCTTTATACAAACTTTTCTGTTTGTTTTATTTCCCCCCTTTTAAACTAAAATTTAATTTGAGGTTACATAGTTGTTTTGTTGCTGAAGCCTAGAGACCAATTCTGGCCTTTATTAAGACTCTAAGACATGACATGTTTTCTTGCCTTTTTTTATATCCAAAAAGGAAAGAAATGAAACATCTCTTTTTAAACATACTAGGTAAGTGTCCCTTACTTCCTAGATCTGACTGCTTAATGTTGTTGTTGTTAAGTGCCTTTGTTCTGACTCATAGCAACCCTGTATAGGATTTTGAAGGAACCGAACAAACCTACAGCTTGTAGGTTTGAGCTGCAGACCTTGTGGTTTGGTTCCCAGTGTAGCGCTGATCTCACAACACCACACCAAAAACCCAGAAAATTAGAATTAGAAATGTTTTCTTCATTGTGAATTTATTCCCACACATTGTGATGCAAAGTGGCTGGCTTATTCACTTAAAATTAGCAAAGTCACTTTATTCAAAGGATGACATATTTAGATTGACCTACATTATCATGACATGAAAGCCACAAGCAGGTCAAATTCAAGGCCAAATTACAAATCAATAGATAGATCATTACCTTGGGGGGAAGCTGATATTTCAAACTTGAATTCTTCATTGCTTTTCAAGAGGCACTATTTTTTTTTCCTGCTTCCAAATTTTAAGACCTTCTGCAAGCTAAAGAGTGAATGTGAATGAATTTCAGTTTTCTTTTCTTTTTTGAGAATATGGATTCTTTCCTACATATTTAATTTATCAGGTTTTCTTTTACTTTAATTATTATACGTTCTTAATATTCATTCTATCCAGATTTACTTATAAAAAGTGATGAAACATTGTTTTGGTTTCTATACGCTTTTTATTCCTAACTATGTCTCAATTTTTTTTCTTTAGAAAAAAATGTAATTTGAACCCACATTAATGTCACACAGAAATTAAATAATCTGCGTTAAGTATTATATCTGATTCAAGGTTTGGGTTGATGAAAAATTGGAAACATTTATATCCTGATGTTGAAAGATTTCAGTTCCATTTTTTGCTGACATTAGTCAAAGTGAAGACTGAAATTTGGGGCCTTTCGCCCATTCTCCCTTTATTTCCACATGGCACCCTCTTGATCTCACAGAAAGTCTTCCAGGTGTAGCTCACTCTGCAAGGATTACACTGGCTCTGACATCTTTTATTATCTGAGTCAGTACAGTTTCTAATATCCTAGTAACTGAAAGAGAAGTGAAAGCACAATATAAAATATTGCCTTACTTCCTCTCTAAATTTATTCTGAAACCTTTGGTGGGTGTTAAACCTACTGTAATGAAATTAAAACACACACCAACCAGGGAGGCAAGAGACTTGTTTCTTCTCATCCGACCTTTTGAGAATCACTTCTCTTGAATTTTGTCTGCAAAATGAAGAGGTTGAACTCGTGGTGCTTAAAATTCCCGACAACTTAACAAATCTATGGTGCTATGTATTCTGTTTGAAATTTTGATTCATGTGTATGTATTTCCTTATGTACTTTCTAAATTTGCCATACCTGGTCTCTCTTGTTTTCTCAGTTGCTCTCCTTTGCCCTCTGTCAAGGCCCACCACCAGTAGGCCTCTAACCACACTGGCTTCAAAATTAATCTTGTGTGAAAACTGAGGGATGTGAGGAGCTCTGGTCTAGTGCTGTCCGGCCAGTGCAGCATCTCCTTGCTGCCAGTTGGACCCTGACCTGGCTCTGAGCCTGGAACAAATGTCTTATCCACTACAATATCTGCAGCATGAGCCACTGAGGTGTTCCATGAACACTGAGTGAAGGAAGAGAGGAGAGAGCAAGACAGTGTGAGCATCAACTGGGACTCCTTCCTGCTTGCTTCTGGAAGCCTAGATCACATTGCAAGCCACATTCCTCTCTCTTCTCCCTTTTGTCTCCCCGCCACCCCCTTCAGCCACACCTGCCTCCTTGAACCTTGGCTGTTCTCCCAACTCAGGTCCCTTGACGTTCCTCTTCAGTTAAAGTCTATACACTATCCCTCTGCCATGGGATTCATTTCCTTCCTTCCTTAAATTAAATGCCATCCTCTCAGTGGCCACACTAAATCTTAAATAAGATTACACCACCTTCCTCTGTATACATTCCCCAGTCCTTGCTTTGTTTATTCACTTCAGCATTTATCACTAATTATCACTAATAAAAGCATTCTATACATTTATTTATCTTGCTTATTATCTACCCTCACCAGATCCTAGACTCCAGAAGAACAGAGAACTGTGTCTTTACCTCCAAGGCCTAGAACATGGTAGTTTCTCAAACGTACTTCTTAAATGATTAGTAACAGGATCCTAGTTTGGTATTTCAATCTCTCAAAGCAGCCACTCTTCTTAGCCAGGTTGGTAGCCCAATTCAGTATCCAGCGCTAGCCTGCCTCCTTGAATCTTCCCCATGATGTCACCTGCTTGGTAACTGTTTGTTGAGTGAAGAAATAAATGCTCCTGGGTCCCTTGTACCGTCCTGTAGAAAGTCTCCCTGCTGGCTCTTCTGCCTATTGTATTCCTGGTACACTCCTACTTTCACATACCAGTCTCTGCTTGGATTTCCCTTTGTCTGTTTGGGTCTTGTGTAAGTAGAACTGTGTACCCATAGGGTTTTCAGTGGCTGATATTTTAAAAGTAGACCCCCAGACCTTTCTTCCATGTGGCGGTGGTGGTGCTTATGTGCCGTGGAGTCAGTCCCAACTCATAGCAACCCTGTGTAGTAGGGTTTCCAAGGCTGTAAATCTTTACAGGAGCAGAAAGTCTCATCTTTCTCCCATAGAATGACTGGGAATTTCAAACAGCTGACCTTGAGGTTAGCAGCCTGACTTGTAAGCACTGCACTACCAGAGCTCCATAAAACTATACTACCAGATCTTAAAAAAAAAAAAAAACCCACTGCCATGGTGTTTGTGTTGACTCATAGCAACAAATTTCCAGGACCGTAATGGTTATGAATCAGGCTGGGAACCGTAAGGTCGACAGTTCGAAACTACCAGCTACTCTGCAGGAGAAAGATGAGGCTTTCTGCTCCAGTAAAGATTTACAGCCTCGGAAACCCTGTGCAGGGTCACGATGGGTTGGAACTGACTCGATGGCACTTAACAACAACAACAAGGCTTTACAGAAGCAGACAGCTCATCTTTCTCCCACAGAGTGGCTGGTGGGTTTTGTACTGCCGACCTTGAATTCAATCCAATCCTATAAGCCCCAGCAGCTCCACTAGGGCTCCTTTTTTATATGGATCCTCTTGTTGTTGTTGTGTCACCGAGTCAATTCTGATTCATAGCCACCCTGTATAGGGTTTCTGAGGAGCAGCTGGTGAGTTTGAACTGCCACCCTTAAAGTTCAAACCAACCTTGCATTCCAATGTTCATCCTACAGTATCACACCAGGACTCCATATTTGCTTCTGTTTAAATATAAGGTCTCTCTCTCTTTTCTCCTCTCATCTGCACTGAACTTATATCTCTGTTTTTCTTGCCTATGTCATTGTCCTTCTTCCCAGAATCCTCTCTCCATATACTATAAAAGCAC